CTTTACTAGTTGCTTGAAAAAAGTAATCTGATTACGTAACTCGCGTTACTTGTAATGCGATACACCCAACACTGCTCATCAACATCTTAATGCATTTAATTTACATTTTAATGCATTTACCAAATTTTTATCAATTTGAACCTGAAGCAAGATCTGCATGAGGAAATTCTTGGCAGGGAACTAACTGACCAGGGTCAAACCAGCATTTAAGAAAAGCTTAAATAACCCAGACTCTTAATGTAAGATCAAATCATCTTGGAGAAGAAAACAAAAACAAAAATCACACAAAAGATTATTAAAAGTAAATCAATACTGTACCCAGGTCATCAAACGAGTGCTTCAGGACAACTATTCCCCAGAGACCTTGAAGAAAAGCAGCTACGCAGACCCATCCAACACAATCTGCAATTGGATCAAATTTGAGGAATAAATGAACACTTCACAGTATTCACTTTAATTGGGCATTTTTATGTAATTGTGGCCATTATTGTACCTTTTTCTTTTTCCAGCGCTATGAGGTAAGAATAGACCATTATGGCATTTACTGCTATCATGAAACTTAACCACGCTGCTCTCCTGACCGAGGGTAAACCTGAAAATGTGAAGAATGTTTATTTATCAAATTTCATATAGCAGTAAAATAAAAAAAAAATTGTTTGTTTTTTTACACTTTGTAAAGAGCTGCAGAACGAATTGGAAGATTTGGCTTTTCCTGAAGATGACATTTATTTGTTTTCTTATTCAACAGCAAGCAACTTAAAATCATCAAAGATAGAGTTATTCATGACAGTTTCATAGTAATTCATCAAATACTCACATTGTAGTTTTTCCACACATGCTTTGTTCCAATTATATCTCGTCAAAGCTAAGAACAGTGGGAAAACTCCAACAACAAAAAGTGCTGTATATAGAGAAAAAAATAATAATGATTTAGTAGCCTAGTTTGGGCTCAGTTATATAGATTTATTATCTTTGATAAACCTATGTTTTCCAGGAAAAACATTTGTTCATTGACAATGTTTTTCTCTAAAAAAGGTTTTAAAAATGTGAGAAAACTGAATGAGATTAGCTGCTTATTTCTTGATATTTTTAAAATCTGAAATTTAATTATGATACAAGATCAAGACCTCCTCGAGAATTTTGGGAGGGTTATTATGGATTATAGACTCGTATTTTAGCCAGAAGCAACAGTTTGATGTTAAAACATCTTAAAGATGGATTTGTTTCTAATAAACACACAGCTTTTCCCTTCTCAAGACATTAACTGATGGACTTGGTTGGTGTGGATTACTTGTGGATTATTGTGATGTTTTTATCAGCTGTTTGGACTCTCATTCTGACGGCACCCGTTCACTGCAGAGCATCCATTGCTCAGCAAGTGATGCAATGCTACATTCCTCCAAATCTGATGAAGAAACAAACTCATCTACATCTTAATGCATTTAATTTACATTTTAATGCATTTAACAAATTTTAATCAATTTGAACCTGAAGCAAGATCTGCATGAGGAAATTCTTGGCAGGGAACTAACTGACCAGGGTCAAACCAGCATTTAAGAAAAGCTTAAATAACCCAGACTCTTAATGTAAGATGAAATCATCTTGGAGAAGAAAACAAAAACAAAAATCACACAAAAGATTATTAAAAGTAAATCAATACTGTACCCAGGTCATCAAACGAGTGCTTCAGGACAACTATTCCCCAGAGACCTTGAAGAAAAGCAGCTACGCAGACCCATCCAACACAATCTGCAATTGGATCAAATTTGAGGAATAAATGGACACTTCACAGTATTCACTTTAATTGGGCATTTTTATGTAATTGTGGCCATTATTGTACCTTTTTCTTTTTCCAGCGCTATGAGGTAAGAATAGACCATTATGGCATTTACTGCTATCATGAAACTTAACCACGCTGCTCTCCTGACCGAGGGTAAACCTGAAAATGTGAAGAATGTTTATTTATCAAATTTCATATAGCAGTAAAATAAAAAAAATTTTGTTTGTTTTTTTACACTTTGTAAAGAGCTGCAGAACGAATTGGAAGATTTGGCTTTTCCTGAAGATGACATTTATTTGTTTTCTTATTCAACAGCAAGCAACTTAAAATCATCAAAGATAGAGTTATTCATGACAGTTTCATAGTAATTCATCAAATACTCACATTGTAGTTTTTCCACACATGCTTTGTTCCAATTATATCTCGTCAAAGCTAAGAACAGTGGGAAAACTCCAACAACAAAAAGTGCTGTATATAGAGAAAAAAATAATAATGATTTAGTAGCCTAGTTTGGGCTCAGTTATATAGATTTATTATCTTTGATAAACCTATGTTTTCCAGGAAAAACATTTGTTCATTGACAATGTTTTTCTCTAAAAAAGGTTTTAAAAATGTGAGAAAACTGAATGAGATTAGCTGCTTATTTCTTGATATTTTTAAAATCTGAAATTTAATTATGATACAAGATCAAGACCTCCTCGAGAATTTTGGGAGGGGGAGTTATTGTTTCTTCAAATCATTTTCTGAAATATGCCAGATGTTTTTATTTTTACACACACATGCCTCTGTATGTCTCATTTGATTCACACAAACAAATCCAAATGATTTATCAAAACCTTGTACCTCGTCTGGCAGCTCCGAAAGCGTAGAACAGGAAGATGAGTTGTAATGGAGGCAGAACATCATGACCGATATCAGACACCAGGTCTAACACAACACGCATACTGTCGTCTTTATTTCTAATGAGTTCTGCCAACACTATACCAAAGAAAACAATGTTTTTATTCCAAACTGCTTTTTAAAAGAGCAATAAACTGTTCAACAGGGACAGAGAAATACACTGGACTGAATTATATTACGTTAGCATAAAAATATACTCGATAAGAATAACCCAGCAATAAAGTAACTGCCTGAAATAAGTTATAACACAAAAATAGCTTATTCTGTCGGGGTACTGTGTGAACTCTGAAGTATACTAATGATTTACATGTTTTTCTCCAGCAAATTTAAAGTCCCCATGAAATCAAAATGAAAGTTTTTTGGGTGTTAGTATCAATATGTTAGTCTTAAGGTTATCTATAAGGCAGTGTGCTCCAAAACAGTGACAAAATTCGCATTTAGAAGATATAAGCATTCAAAGCTCGCAGTTCGTCACTTCCGCCAAAACGGCTCAACGATTTTTTTTTTTGACGTCACATCGTACTTCAGCTTCTCATGAAACTTTCTGATGTACAGTGCTCTCTCCCACCTTCAATACCACGACTGAGGTGCCCTTGAGCAAGACCCCCAACTGCTCCCTGGGCGCCGCAGCATAAATGGCTGCCCACTGCTTCGGGTGTGTGTCACCATACTTGGCCACATGTCACGTCACATCACGTAAATATGCTTTCCATTGTGGAAAAAATAAGTCTGGTTTCGCGCTGTGTCACGCTAACCACCGCACACACACTCTGCTCCAGTCCAGAGACACGATAGCACGGAGCGAATCACATGCGCGAGTCGGCGCAGACCACAAAATGTATCGGTCATTTTTTTTAAAAACGCCTCGGGCTCGTTTTTTTGTTTTGACCCGCCGCGTTAAAAACTGGCTGACCAATGATATTGGCGCTTTTGTTCACGTGCCTGGAGCTGCTGAAGCACAAAACGGTCTTGCCGAGCACACACTGATACCTAACGACGAAGAGGAAGTAAGTAGACCAAGAAGATGCATCGAGGCAAGATGAATGTAGAGCTGCTGGTCTCACTGGTGTCTGAACACAAAGGGTTTTATGAAAAACGCGACAGCGACTACAAAAATCTCGATAAGAGGGAGTTGTTATGGAGAGGAATTACAGAACAAATAGGATTCGATGTGTACCGGGGTATTTCTGTTTTTCATTAAACGCCATCTAATGTCAGGGAGTGAATTTGCACGTTCACT